TACACAGTTGGGGAAGGGGCACTCAGGGAGACAAGCCTGGTGCTGCCCCATTACACCCCTCAGCCTCAGAGAGCAAGGGAAATGCGAGGGTCAAATATTCACATCCACGCAGCTTTCCCCTGGCCATGGATGAAGCCTGGGCCCTGAGCCCACCCTTGAGGTGGGGAAGGGACCCTGACACTTAACAAAGTTTTGAATGGAGCAGCAAGACTGATTTAGAGGTCTGTGCAGAGCTGCAAAATAAATTTTCTATATTTCATCACTAACATATCCCTCCTCAGGACGTGTTGGTTGTAGCAAAAGTGCACAAATGCATCTGTATACCCAGAGCTGTTGCAAATAATTCCCATTAGAGCCCCTTGCAGAGCAATTCCTGAAAATATCAATTTCTTTTTTTTTTTTTTCGTCACAGATGGATAAAAAAGAAGAAAATCCCCTCCAATCCCATGATGTGAGGGCTGTCACTCCCCAGCCCGAGGCAGGTGAGCCTGGTGCCGGCTGTGCTTCATCCAACATGTTGCATTGTAAAGGTTTGCCCGTGGTTTATTTAATCCCAGACACATTCCTGAGCCATCAATCAGAGCTGAGTCAGCCAGCGTGACTGGGCTGTCCTTTTTCTTTCATTCTTTCTTTCTTTCTTTTTTTTTTTTTTTTTTAGCAATCACAAGTCCTCTCATCCTGTTTGCCAGCAGTGAGCTGGGGGTTTACTATTTTTTTTTTAATTTTAATAAAAATGGGACTTGACTGGGAGCAGGGAAATGTTCCCGCTGTCAAGTATAACCTTTAAAGCTGCTCTGCCTCGAGGAACTTCTCCTCTCTGAGATGCTACAAAGTGCATCACATGGAAGAAAAATAAAGGATGCTGCCTGGCATGGCTTTGACAGTGACTCCCCTTCCTTACTTGGCTCTCTTTCATGGGTGCCTTGATACAAGCCCCATCATGCACATGGAAAGAGGAGAACAGACTTTTTGGAGGTGATATTTTCTTGCAGAGCAGCCTTGGAAGTGCTGCCCACTGCCACACTCCAGGAGGCAAAACCTTCCCCCTGCGCTCCCCCAACAAGGACAAGGTTGTTATGGCTTCAAAACAGCCCCTGCCTGCCCCAAGGAAGGCAGGAGAGCTGAACTGATGTTGTGGCTATGTGTAACCTCGGCTCACCTCGGCTGGAGGCCTTATCAGGGCCCCCACACTCGTTTAGGGCTCCCTGTGAGGTGGGTGCAAGGCTACGCTCTTTGCCCTGAAGTAAGACAAGTGTTTTGTCTCTGATTGGGTCAAGGAGATGGCTGGGCTGCCGGAGATTGAGGAAAAAAAAATTAAAAAAAATTTAAAACGTTGTGGTTTCCGGATTTCCCAGCAAGAACAGGTCCTCCCTGCCCTCAGGATGGTTGCAGGGATGAGCATCACCCCGGTCTCACGTGTCTGCATGTTCACCTAGAAAATACTATTGCAGGTGCCTCAGTCAAGCTTAAAATGCGAATTTCCTCCCTGGTGAGAGGCCCTGAAGCACGGAGGAATTAGGAGAAGAGAGAAGACAGATCTCTGTGCATCCCAGCAAGCCCCAGCCCAAAGCAAGGCTTGAGAGGCTCTGACATCCCAGGGGAGATCAGAGCAAGGACTGCACTGGAGCCAGCAGGAGGTAACCACAGAGCTGTGAGCTGGGATACACAGTGGTCTCCACCTTTTTGGCCCTTTTGCTCCTAATACAGTTTTAGTTAGAACTGTTGGTGGAGGACAAGCCTCCAATCACACGGGAAGCATCCACGCAAGATGTGCTCCAGGAAATCATGTCAAATTACACCGTTCCCTGCCTTCTCCCACTGTTTCTCTGGAACCAGAAACAAAGAAACAACCCAAATCAAAACTTGCAGGGAACTTTGCAACTTTGTTTGCAGATGGCATTTGCTGTTTCCCTGCCTCCAGGGCAGAGAGAGCTGTGATCTCAGAGGCCAGCTCTTGCCTAGCCCTTTATTTAGCACCTAATCACTTCAAGGAGGTATTTGATTTCAAGAACTAGACTAGGTTTGAATAAATGCCTCTCATGCCTAATTTGCAGGCTAGATGAAGATCTAGGCAGGACAGGTTCCAAGACATCACCTCTATACTCAAGGGTGATACAGCAGGTAGAGCCATGGGCAGGACACCTTCCACTAGACCAGGTCGCTCCAAGCCCCATCCAACTCAGCCTTGAACACTTCCAGAGATGGAGGATCCACTACTATTTCTCTTTTATGAGAATTTTTATTCACAAGGCACATGAACATATGTGTGAGGCAGCACTGTGTGGCACATGGTGACCCTTGGGGCCTGAGAGCACAATTCCTAACACAAGGAAAAACCAAGTCATGTCTGTATTTCAACAAGATATTTTATTGGTCCAGCAACTGCAAAATATACAAATTTCTGAAAGGCAGACCCTGTTTTTAAGCTGGCACAGCTTTATATCAGGCAATTATTCCAGACCTATATACAGAACAGTTAACATACCACAAATGAAAAAAAAAAAAAAAAAACCAACCAAAAGTAACCCCAAGTAACTACACCCTTCTCTCCAAGCTTCGCAGTGTACATTAAATAAATAAAGAGCGCTTTGCTATCAAAAAAAATTAAAAAAATAAATTCAAGTATCACAAAGGAAAACAAAACCAGGGGAAAAGAGGGGGGACGAAATCACTGGTGTGGTTTGACAAGTCCTCTCTCCCACCCTGCCTAGGCTGTTAACCAAAAGCAATTGGCAGTGGGTTTTCGGAGCAGTGTGATGGCACCATCCCACCAACCCCTCCAGCACGAGAGGACCTCAGAGACCAGTTTTCCCATTGCTGGAGAAAATGCCATGTTCAAATTTCATTTTTTTCATGGACCTACTGAGACATCTATTATTCCCAAAGGAAGAAAGTTTAGGGCCATTTTTTTTTTCATATATATATATATATAAATTTATATATATATACACACACAAATACACACCAAAACATCCGCAGAATTACATGTGTACAGGGTTGATCTCGGGGCAGCCAGACGTCATGTTTGTATTTGCTGGCTTATCTTTTTGCAGCAGGAGGAGGGAGATAATACTCCCCAGGAAGGAGGTTGGAAAAGCCAAGTGGAGTCACCTCCCCCAAAACATTCGTTTATCTCAAAGGCAGAGAAACCGAAAGGGCAGACGCCGCCCGTGCACGCAGTGAGAAAGAGGCTGCTTTTAATGAGGCTATTAAGAAATTAATGAAGGAGGGGGGGGAAAGTGTTCTTGGTTTCATCTGTACAGGAATATAATACACATATGCACAAGCTCACACAGGCAGGGCACTGTGGGACACGGGCTGAGCGTGGTCCCGGCCCCCTCCCGCCGTCGGTGCCGCTCCGAGCGCGAGGCCGAAGCGTTAGGCACTGTGGTTCGCCTTTTCCCAAAGGAAAAACAGACCAACCCCCCCACCCCCCCCCAAAAAAAAATATACACACACACAAAAAAAATAAATCATAACTTCTCCCCAAACCTCTCTGCCCAGCACTGCAGGAGGGGCAGCTTGCCTTCACCTCCTGCCTCCAGCAAAAAAAAAAAAAAAAAACATGAGATGGGGATGGAGAAGATGCTGCGCGTAGGTGGGGAACAAACCAAAGCCCAACCCAAAATGCTAAAAAAGAAGACAATCTCAAAATCCACAGACTTTTGCACAGAGCAATAGTGGTTAATTGCCATTTTTAACTGCTGTCTCCCAGCCTAGGGCAGGCTGCCAACAAGGAATCTCATGTATCAAACCACTGGGAGTTTGGCTGATGGAGTCAAAAGTTAGGACCTCATCCAATTCCCCACCACCACCACCACACACACCTTCAACACTGTAACTACTACTATTTTGTAGTCCCAGCTTTCCAGCATGCAAAATACAATTAAAAACAAACAAACAAATAGTTGCCTGTATTCAGGCTTCCCCTGTTAAGGGGTACGACTTGAAAAAAAAAAAAATACAATAGTTATGCTCCTGCGACAAATAAAGTGCAAAAACCAAGCGGTTTCTATGTATACACATACACACACACACGTATGTGCAGGTATATATATAATTAAAAAGAGAATACAGACAAAACTGTCCCTTCTTGTGGCTTTTTGCAGCCAGACAGGGACTCCTGCAACCTGGCCAGACCTCTGGCCACCTCCATGAGACCTGTGTGTCTACAAAATGCATCTAAGCTCAGCCTAGGGATTCAAACCCTTCCCAATACCTCCGCTTTCCTCCAAGAAAGAGGAAAGGGGAGATGAAGTACCAGCACAGCACCTCAGAAAAAGTGTGCAGTCTCCTCCTAAATATCAACCCACGCCTGAACTCAGACCATCTCTGGGTGCTCTCCGAGATGAAAGCACCACCCAAGCCACCAGCAGTGCGGTTCCTCCTACACCACAGGCAGCTGGCACCCAGTTTTGGCAGCAGATCTACATTCTCTGCAAACCCCTTTAAGGTGTTATTGATTAAAAAGAAAAAAAAAAAAAAAAAAAAAAAAAAAA